CAATTGCAATTCATTTTACGTTAATCCTAAACAATGAGTCCACAGTCCAGTGATTGTATTCAAATCCATCATCTGCTCGAGATGACATTGTAATTGAGTCTCCGTTTTATCATATTCCGACTTTTGATCAAAATTCTAAACTTAAAAGAACTATAGGTATTTCTGTTTAACTTTGGACTAATTTTTATTAAACGTTAAAACGTTTAAAGCGTAAATCATATTAAAAATATTACTAATGGTAAGTCCACAGCCTGAAAAATAGTAGAATGCTTTCATTTAATTGAGTGTTTGGAACAGTTTTACCGAGCCACTTTCACTTAGAAAGTGTGTTATTTATCTCAGCCGTGGCACTGAAAGCTGGTCCTACGAGTACACGATCTGCGCCTCCGGGCCGTCAGTTAATTACTCTCTACAAGATAGTGCTCATTGTGAATGGACAAAGGAAATTGGACAAATTTTTTGCTTTTATTGAGAAGTCCTTTTTTCATAAAATAAACTGAACAAAAACCAAACGGATTGTGTACTTTTTGAATACTACACATAATATGGTTTGCTAGCTAAAATCGTTAAAATACATTAATTTCTTTTATTATTAGTTGGGTGCAGGTATGCCTATTAGAAAATGTTTATTTTGAAACTGAACAAAAATTATTTAAAAACTAAAGAATGTCAAGACTCTGTCACATTTTAAATAAAACATTTTTTATTTTTTAAACTCATTATCAGCCGCGGAATTCCACCGCTATCCTTGTGATGTGCGTGCGATTTGGATTGACGGTCTCAGTACATCTCGCACATTTGTGACCAGGTGCTGCTCATCGATATATATGTACTACGCACTAGATTTGGCATTCCGAACACTCACTATGTTCAACTGAACTGTACTGCAATCCGTACACCTGTTATTGTGGCTTCGATATTCATGCAGTGCGAAGCGGCGCTAATAATAATTCTATATTAAATTAGCACATATGCAAAATAAAGGAAAATAAAAAAATGTACTCGATTAACAATACAATATAGATAGATAAACAGTTATATAGTATGATAATTTTCGCGCGTTTATATCAATTATCAAATGCGCATGCGCGACTCTACTCTACTGTGTCCCGCGCATGCGCGGATACAGAGTACTGCACATTTTTTTATTTGGAATAGCTTCTCTACTACCACAGAACAAATAATAGTACTACGTACTAGTACGTAGTACATATGTATAAATCAACGGTGCTGCCGTTTAGCGTTACTTAAACAGAATTATTTGTTGTTTTTTTTTAACAGTTAATATCCATAACTAATACAGTGATGACGTAAGTGAATCCACTAGACCATATCACCCCGTGGGTGTCGTAAGAGGCGACAGAGGGAAACTAAAATAGAAAATAGGCAGCATCATCTTCCTGTTAACAACTTAAAATAATGATTTCTTAAATTTACGCGAACACTACACATTGAATAAAACTAAATTTACGGATTCTATCGCGTTTATTTAACTGATTTTACTTATTTTTAATTCCCGACGTTTCGGGTGCTTTACAGCAACCATGGTCAGGGGGGGACTGAGATGTTTGACGTCGCAATGTCATTGTTAGCCCGGCTACCTTTTCAGTTTTTGAATATTAATTTTTGGCCCGATTTACGCAAAACATACTTACAGTATCTTGAAGTCTTGCAGTGGTATGCTTGGGTTTGGGTTTAATTTTGTTAATTATAGGATCCCAAGCAGCTGGTAGCACCCAACCATCTTCTCTATTGAAATTAGTGACCCGTGATCATGGTTGTTGTAAAGCACCCGAAACGTCGGGAATTAAAAATAAGTAAAATCAGTTAAATAAACGCGATAGAATCCGTAAATTTAGTTTTATTCAACTTAAAATAATTTAAAAAATACTGCGGTTTCCAGCGCAACTGCCAAGCGTGATAGGTATCGCAATAATCCTCACTATGAGACTCTCTATGTTCAGCAGGTGACTTTGATAAGCTATAATCATTATCATCATTCATAACAGTTATAATTCTTTATTCTTCATTCGTGTGTCCATACTTTATAATCATTTTAAAAAAACGTATTAAATATTTACAAACCTATTAGGCGGTGTGGGCATGTTGTCAAACATCTCGAAGTCGGCGACGGAGTTCGGGTATCCAGTGAGGACCCAACCGCTATCAATGCAATCCTAAAACAGTTGTCTTATTAACATACTAGCGGCCTGCCCCGATTTTTCCCGGGTTGAACAATTATCTATATTATGTCTCTCCTGCGCTGACATCACTGGCAACGTCGCGCCGACCATCACCATACTTATTTTGTCGCGCGAGTTTTTATATACAAATGGTTACTGTGAGTTATCCTTAGAAGAGTTTAAACATATGCTGTCCCCGAAGTTTTTTTAGAACTTTTCAGAAGGAACAATTCAGCCATACATTATTTGTGCCTTGAATTCGGACACAGCCCACGCTATGAAAACTATCAAGAGGCGCGACTTTTTCTGACTTTTTTGACAAATATCATCATAAGTCATAACTTTGAGACATAATTTATTATGTATATTATACATAATATATATTATTATTAATAATATGTCTGTCTGGAATAATGTACCATTCAAACGGTGCAAGAATTTTTTAAATAGGTACAGTGGTTCCGTAGATTACCCTCCTCATAATACACAAATTCAAAATTCGCACTCTCAAAATTATAGCATAGATGTTACACGATTCACATGTGCACTGAGACTTGGAATTCTAATATAGACGCACGTGTGATATTGGGAGTTGTGTATTTATTTATAGTATCTATAAGATTAAAATAAGATATATTTTTATTTAATTTTTAAAAACTGTTACCCCACTCTAGGATTATTTTCTCCTGTGTCGTGGAGGCAGTTTACATACATACATTTCACAAGCATCCAGATCCGAAACATTTATTTGTAGGCCATACGAATATTCGTTCCGTGCGGATTAGAACTCGTGGCCCCAGTGCTGCAACTCATTGCTAAGCCACTGCGCCACTGAACCATCAGAACGGTTCCGAGGCTCAATAAGTACCCGAAAAATGTTATGTAACTACATAAAGTTAAAATTACTTTTACCTTCTTGGCCAACCGACGCTTCACAATGTCAGCCCTTAGCCGATTGCTACAGCCGTAGTTACGTAGTGTTTCACCTATTTCGTCTTCTCCAAGCATTGCCACTTTGTACAGATCGGCGAAGTTCACTAAAATGGTAATTTATATTTTAAAAATTGCACTACATGCATAATCATCGGTCTGTTAACGCCTTACTGGTTGGGTTTTCGCCTGGCTTGACTGCTTCGTTGGTCTAGTAGTCAAATCATCCCTGGGTTCAAATCCGACCAAGATCAGATATTGAGTTTTTCTGTCAAGAAATTCTCAGTAGCAGCCAGGAGCCAGGAAGTTGGCGGTGTTTCAGCCCCGTGCCTCGGAAAGCACGTAAAGCCGTAGGTCCTGCGCCTTATCTCTCTCCGGTAGTGTCAGATCACCGTCCCGTCCGACTATGAGAGTTAAGGAATAGAATGTGCACCGCACAGGGTGTACTAACAATTGGGAACTATAATCGTGTCCTGATCAGATGGCTAGTCTCCGTTGAGACTGGCCGTCTTAAAATAATACATGCCAAATAAATCGAAATTGCTCAAGTAACAAATTGTCTAACAGCTGAACTTAGTGAGTTTATAAAAGCTAACACCATACACTCAAATATTCCATGTAATAAAGCCTTGGATCACTCCAGGCATCTTTCGTTGTATAAGAAACCACAATCAGTTACAACAAACTCGCTCCTTTTAGGGTACTCCTAATGTGGCATATTTTACAAAATATCGCCAATTTGGTCGATGAACCTTCTTCTAGGGCGTCTCTTCCCGACTCTGCCGTTCACATCTGCAATATAAATATGCTTTGTCACTCTTTCCTCGTTCATTCTTTCTACACGACCAATCCACCGAAGCATTCCTTTCTGGTTACAACATTATCTTGCACACCACATTTTTCTCTTATCATGCAATTTCTCACTCTGTCATTCAGATTCAGCCCTAGCATACTCCTTAAAGACCGCATTCCTACACCATTTATTGCATTTATTATACTTTCGTGCTTCTTCTGCCACACCCAACTTTCACAACCATACATTAAAGTAGGGATTAACACAGCATTATGAATTACAATACGTGCCTTTTTTTACACATTCTGATTCTTCATAATAGAGTGTGGAGCCCAAACTCTATTTCCTGCATTCACTCGTTCTATATCCTTATCATATCTACCGTCCCTGTTAAATAAATATCCCAAATACACGAACTCAATCACTTGCTCAATCAACTCCCCTTCTATTCTTATTTCACAACATATTACTTTTTTCTCTTTCGAAAACCATCACATTCGTCTTACTTGCGTTCACTTTCATTCCCCTTTCTTATAATGACTAGTTCATTCGTGTAACCATCATTTGCAACTCGGCCGCTGACGACGCAAATATGACTTGATCACCGGCGTACAAAAGGCATTTGACGGTTAACTTGCCCATTCCCACATTCTGCACCTTTCAAAGTTTGCAAACGACTGTCCATAAATAGGTTGAACAGCCACGGAGAAGCTACAGAGCCCTGTCTGACATCTTTTTGGATGCCCAACCAGTCTGAGTAGACCCCATTGATCCTGAATCAAGCACTAGAGACCCCATAAAGAGACCTTAGTACCTGTATCAAACCAGCGTTCAGCCGAAATGAGTTCAGTGTCTGCCATAACACAGTCCTGTCCACTCTGTCATAAGCTTTTTCCAAGTCTCATGGACTTGGAAAACACGCACAAAAAACTTTGTGGTTTTGGCCAAATATTTCTCCGCAATCGTTTATTCAAAATCGTTATGTCCTAAGATACGGTCTACATAATCTAGTAACAGTAGACGGAATCAAAAAAACTCCACAAATACAAAATCTTGTTTTAAAATGCAAGAAAGTAGTCAAATTATTGCTGTATATGTATATGTTGACTGAAATTAAAGAGAAAGCTGAAAAGGAACAACGTCGAATTTTGGCAGAAATCGATGATGTTAGTGACCATCTTGAAGATGACAAAAACTTTCCACTTGATGATTGTGATTCGCTTAATGCTTTTTCAGAGTCAGTAGTACTGACAAATAAGAAGAGACTGATGTTCATTTCTCCAGGACCCACTACATCCACATCATCATCGGTGCCATCTATTAAATCTTCAAAGCCCACTCGCTAGCAAGTTTAACAGAATACCTGTGAACGTCTTGCTTTTAAAATACAATATGTCAGAACTTAAATTTGATGATCAGGAATGGGATCTCATTGAAGATCTGACTAGGTTTTTAGGGAAATTTAAACCAATAACGGAAGTTTTATCTACAAAGACAAATTGCTTGATAAACTTCGCTTTAGCGGTCAGGTCTGAAATAAAAGAAGCATGTGAAACTTTAAATGATAATGAAAAGTTAGTAATGTAGCAGATGAAAAGAAATATGAGGGCAATGCTCAATCATAGATTGCCTATTACCGACATTACAGTACCAGATGCTTTACTAGATTGCCGATTCACCAAGTTACAGGAAATAGACCATTACCTAGAAAGTATCCATACAACAAGAGTGGATTTCTTAGCCAATTCTATCAAAGAAATAGTGCCAGCAAGTGAACTACAGACTCAAACCAGCTGCTGCAGTACATCAAATGCACGTGACAAAGACACAAGTTCTTTTATCAACAAACTAGTTGAAAAACATGCGGCTGCATTTGAAGATGATGGACAAGAGTTTGTTGGAAAAGAATGCCTGAAATACTTGGTACCTTGTGATGCTAGTGATTTAAAAGACGGCAATGTTATTAAATACTGGCAAGATAGACGAGCAGCTTTTCCGTTGCTATACAAATTAGAGAAGGCTATTTTATCAGTGCCTGCTATAAGCACGCCCAGCGAGTGGGTGTTTTCTGTTGCAGGTTTAACAGTGACGTTTAAGTCCGAAATGGGTGGACAAAATTATATTTGTGCACGACAATGACAGTCATTGCAAGTCAGCCGTCAACTGAAAATACTTTTATTTTGCCGATGTATTAATATTTGATTTTGATGTTTGTGATGTTTTAAATTGTGTTCTGATTATTATAATAAAAACGAATCTATAAGCCAGACAGTTTTATTAAAGTTTTCCGCGCCAATATCGCGCCGAAAATACGCCGCCGCCGCCGATTTTAGACAGGCGCCCGCCGCCGATGATTCCAGCATCGGCGCACAAGTCTAAGCCGAGAGGCTTTTTTGTTAGAAAATTGCGAGACCTGAAATATCAATCTACGGCTTTGCTTTCAAGAGCGTCAGTTTCTACCAAAACGTTGCTCACCTCCTACAAGGTAGCTTACCGTGTTGCCAAATGTAAGAAGCCACACACAATAGTTGAGAAATTGATTTGCAGCGGTTGATATGGTATCGGTGATGATTGGAGAATAGGTGGCTAAAGAAATAAAAAATGTACCTCTTTCAAACAATATGATAAGCCGCCGTATTCAAGACATGACAGGAGATATTAATGAGCAAATTGTGGAGACACTTTCAGGTTTATTTGCCATTCAACTTGATGAGGTGATGGATAGTAATGACGATGCTCAATTGATATGTTACGCGTGGTAAAAACAAGAAACAAATGTGTATGTGAGGATTTGTTATTTAGCACAAAAATATGTGAAAATGTTAAGGCTACTGATTGAGATCTTAGATTAATAGATGTTTGAAAATAATATTAAATGGGAAAACTGTGTGTTGAGCGACAGTATGGAGGACCACAAGCTCTCATCAAAACCAAGGCTCCAAATGTAAAATGGACACACTGTGTCATACATAGAGCAGCCTTAGCTGCAAAGAAAATTACACCTGAATTAAATTTTGTGATGGACATAATTATCAAAGTGGTGAACTACATTAAAACACTACCTGTGAAAGCATGATTTTTCCATAAGCTTTGAGAAGAATTAGGTACCGAGCATACCTCTTTAATTTATTATTGCAACTCTCGTTGGGTGTCCAAAGGCAATGTACTCGCACGTGTACACGAACTACGAAATGATTTTTACACTTTACTACTGACAGAATCACACAATGATGCGCTTAACTTTATTAATACAGAGTTTATAATAAAATTGGCATATCTGTACGGCATATTTCAAAAATTAAATGATCTTAGTAATTCCTTGCAGGGAAGCAATACTCACATACTGCAACTGGCAGATCAAATCACTGGGTTTCAGAAGAAGTTGCTCTTATGGAAAAGAAAATTAGTAGAAGATCAAGTACATACTGACTGTTTCCCTGTTTTACAAGGCATTCTACAAGAAAAACCGATAGAAAGCCTTGGTCCTATATCTCTAAAATTAATATTTACACAGCACTTGTCATCATAAAGTGAACATTTTGAAACTATTCCCGAAAATTTGGAGCAATATGACTGGATTAGAAACCCTTTCCAGTCGACTTCACCATCAACACTTTCAACAAAAGAAGAAGAACAATTAATAGAATTGTCCTGTGACTCCAGCCTTAAGCTTTAACACGACAAAGACAAACTGCTTGAATTTTTGAGTTCAGTTTCTCACGAATGTCGTGCCATCAGCACTGCTGCATTGAGGATTCTATTACCATTTCTGACATCGTACTTGTGCGAAACAGGCTGTTCTGCAGTTGCAGTAATAAAGAACAAGTACAGATCGAAAATAAATGTAGAGAAAGAAATGAGAGTGACAGTTTCCAAACTTGAGCCACGTTTTGAGAAGCTATGCTCAGAAAAGCAAACACATCCTTCTCATTAGTCAACAAAGTATCTCTTTTTTATTTTGTCCTTGTTTTCTTTTTTATTTTAATAAAAATTATAAATGTTATTGGGAGTTTTTCTGGTAACTTCTCACTAGGCTAGAACTACAACTGGTAGGTATTTTTTGGCCAGAATAGGGGCGTCGCAAAAAATGGCAAATTCCAAAGGGCGTCATAGTAAAATAAGTTTGGGAAGCCCTGATCTAACCATATTAATAAAAGTTCATTTACTTAAACAAATGCACCTATTAATTTATTTATTAAATTTAACTATGGTTTTTACAATTGAATTAATCAGTCTTCTTTATTATTAATTATTCAATATTCATTACAATATTAATTTCGATAATTGCAATAGTATGTATACGTAAGTATATGAAAAATGTAAAGAAATGATGAAATTTAAAGAGTCTAACAGAGGCCGGACATGGTCTAGTTTGGCCGGACACGCAACCAAAAAGCCTGACTGGGTTCGTGACAATAAAAATTGCCGATTGAATTACCAAAATTAACAATTTAATTCACTTTACACTAATTAAACTTAAAACCTAATAATTAACCAAACTGATTCAATTTATTCCGCTCCGAAGCTTCGCTTGTCTCGCCAAATTCAATACTTCGCCGATCGCACCTTGCAGCGCCTATAAATACACATTAGCACCGAAACATCCAGAACATTCGCGCACCAATCGACAAGGCGTCGAAAGTTCGAGTGTCGGCTTCTAGAAGCTTAGTTCTTCGTTTCGACACCAGATGGCGCTGTCGGTTGAAAGATTAGTGATGTTATTTTGTGGCAAGCTCCCCCCGCTCTCGTCCCTGACATTACAATTACATGGCATATTATGACCTAACGGGTAGTCCTTCCGTGCGTGTAGCATCAGCTGATCTGCAGTTGATGATGGTAGTTTCATCTTTATTCTGTCGCGCATGCGCAATGCCCAAATAATTGGCTTGGAAATGCCACGACGGTTTTTTATTGTTTACAATAATAATTATTAAATATATTTATAAGAATTGCACGCGGGCAAATTAAATTAGCGCAAGGGCAATTTTTTCACGCTTGGTAGAGTAAAAAATAATTATTTTTCAAAGAGATATGGCTATTTTAGTAGAGGAAAATTGAAAATTATATTTATATTTTTCCTGGGAAAACAAAAAACGGGCTTATAAATTAATTAATGTAGGTCGAAAGGGCTAATTGAGATCTATAAAATGAGATTTTTTTATTTTGAAATTTTAATATCTGCAGGCTGAAACGTGCCACCTCTTTATCTGGACGTCTGTCAACGCGATGCGTTATAGCATAATCTTCACACAACATAATGAATCGAGATTGAGAATCTTAAGCTAACGAGTGATGTAATTTAATGTTGGATGTAAATGATAAATATTATGTAATTGCAACACCAAAATGTATCTCCCGATTTTGTTATCTTTATTTTTCTGAACTGGATCCAATGGGATTGATATAAGCAAAATTAAATGCGTATTCACGTCAAAAACGTACAGTTGACGAGTCCAAAGCGTTCGGCGAGCGCGACTGCTTGCCGTTTTCTGCCACTACCGCGTGGACCCAGCAGCAACACGCGGTATACTCCGGGAGCGCCCACCGCCTGCAGCGACTGCCCCGCTCCCTGCGCCCCACCCGCTGACGCGCGTATTGCATTCACACACTTCGCTTCCACCGCCTTCGTGTCCTCATTTGGATGGATATGGACCTCCTGATCGTAGAAACAATTTTTTTGTCATCACTGTCAAGCCAGAGAATAGATTAATTAAGGAAATGTCAATCTGAAGAGATTTAATCAATTGTGTATCAAACTAAAAAAAATATTGTTGAATAAAAGAGGGAAGAGTTAGAAGAAGGTTAAATAAGAGAGGGAACGTGTGCTAGGTCCGGTCCTGTAACTGCTTTAATGTGTGGTTAAACCTGAGCTGCGCCACATTATCATTGCTATCTTCACGAACTGCCATCATGGCAACTGGATTCACTTACGCTAAAAAGCTGTGAAGAAAGTTCAAGTTTTTTACGATATTTTTTTTACCAAGGATAAAGGTGACAAACGAGTACACAGTTCACCTGACGGTAAGTGGTTGCTGTGGCCCATAGACATCTACATCTATACTCGATTACGAATCAAAATGCAGATGCGTTGTCACCCGTGAGGACTAGGGTGGAATGCCTCGTTTCCAGAGTAAAAAGGGTCTCCGGTTCTCTATACTCACGATACGAAACATAGCAGCGTTAATCTGCTATTTTACGCTGGTATTCTGTGAGATTGGAAAAAAAATTTTTGTCATTGTTGTAAGAGGCAACAGAAGGGAATAAACGAGCAGAAGGGCATCACTGTCTTCCCAATAACAACTAAAAAAAAACATGATTGTTATCCCACCGATCAACCGTGGCAGCTATGGTAAACATATAATGCAATCTATCATTATAATGCAATGCTTCATTAGCAGTGGGCTTTTGATACGCAATAATGATAAGGATGATGATGAAAATTAAATCTGAATGTGTCTATATTTTATTTTCGACAAAGAAATCAGACTATAGAAATATTTTAGCAATACTGTACACCGCGAAAAATTTAGACTATTATATTAAGCCTAAGATATATGTGTATTATGGAAACATTGGCTTAATTTCTCCAAAGTGGAAACTTAATAAAAAAATATCAGAAGTAACGCAAATAACACAAACCTTTAATGTAGCCTTGTAAGCGAATTTAAGTCCTTCAAAGTCCTGCTGGAAGAACCCGCGAGCAGGCGTGTGTGGGTTATCTGTCGGTGGAGCCTGTGGCGGCGGAGGCATCAGCACTAAGGTGACAGTTGGCAACACGCCCAACTGCTGCAGGCAACGCGCCTCGCGGACCGTACATGGATGGTCTACGTGTACAAGATCTTTCGTATAAAATTGAAATGACAAAGGAACTTACAGTCCACCTGTTGGTAAATGGCTTTTGCAAATCTGCAATCAATGGATACCTGCAGCCAACTTCCAATAAAGAAGGTTGTAGTTGCGTTGTCACTAAGATGGAATATCTCACTGTAATTATACTGGCACCTATAATTGATGGTTATTGAAGAGGTACATTTTTTTTTTTTTTTTTTTTTTTGTTGATATTTTTATGTGGGTACAGTTTCACTGTATCCTGTTAATAATTAAGTATTTAATTTGTATCTTGTTATATATAATATAAT